TTCTTAAATGTTCTCCCGGCAGCCCAGAAACAATAGTCTAGACTATGTTTCTGGGATTCCGCCATAACATAGTTAATATCTAAACATAGAAATAATAGCAAGAAGTTCGTTTCCGTAGCCCTTTAATAACAGTAATATTAAGAAGAACAAAAAGAACATGAAGAAGAAGAAGAAGAAAACAAGAAGGTGAAGACGACAATGAAGATGACAGTGAAGACGACAATGAACAAAACGACGAAGAAGAAAAAGAAGTAGAAGAAGAAGGAGGAGGAGGAGGAGGATGAGGACAAGAAGAAAAAGAAGAAGAGAAGAATAAGAAGAAGACGAAGAATAAGAAAACAAAAAGGAGAGACAAAAAAGGAGAAGAAGACGTCGAAGAGGAAGACAAAGAAGAAAAACAAGACGGAGAAGACGAAGAAGCTAGTTGTCGCACCTTCGACAACGCATCGGATTTTTTTGCACCTCGAGCGCGCACGCGCAGCCGAAGCGCCGAGGAATGTGTAGAGCGCGTGATGGAGGCCGGGCCTTCGAAACATACGTCGTGCCGTTTTCATTCGGTCAGTCACTATAGGAAGTATTCACTGGCGGCCATAGCGTGGTGTTGCCATAGCTGTGTGCGCGACTGCTGAGGGCGTGCTGATGGCTAGCTTCCAGGGTTCTTTTGCAACGTGCATTCCACACCGTCAGAATGACCGGTCTTAGCAGCCTATTAATGGGGGCTCGTTTTGAGCATGCGCGCTAAACAGCACCCACAAATATGGCACCCAGTGAATACTCCTTATAGACTTCATTAAGATGGCAATTTGGGCCAGTTGTTTTATGATCGAAGATAAGCACCAGTGTTTACGCCTCTTCTCGTCCTTGTTCTTTCGGCGCCTATCTTCGAACTATAGACTTCCTTCGTTTCCTCCCGTTCTCAGTCACGTGGGTTCCGCATCTGGTATGCGGGACGAAAAAATAGGAAGAGATTATTCAACTTGGAATATGCGAGAAACTCTAGGTGGGGCAAAACAAGAATCTCTGACAATCATGAATTTTTCAAGTACACATTCAAGCGTCGTGGATAAATCAAAACAATAGTTTAACGCACATTAGAAGTGAAGACATTCAAGGTAGCTGCGCCCTTGTTGGAAATGTGCGAGGGAGTATTCACTGGCGCTACCATCGCTGCATGCGCGACTGCTGAGCGCGTGCTGAAGGCGAGCTTACACAGTTGTTTCGCAACGTGCATTCCACACCATCACAATTGCCAGTTCTGAGAAGCCTAATAACGTGATCTCGTTCTGAGCATGCGCTTTAAGCAGCTCCCTCAAATATGGCGTCCAGTATATACCCCCTGTTGTGAGTATTTACTGGCGGCCATAGCTGTGTGCGCGAATGCTGAACGCGTGCTGTTGTCGAGCTTCCATAGCTTTTTGCAACGTGCGTTCCAGACCATCAAGATTGCCGGTCGTATCAGTCTATTAATGTAAGCTCGTTCTGAGCATGCGCTCTAAACAGCACCCTCAAATTTGGTGTCCAGTCTATACCCCCTATAGACAGTTGCAACCATGGCGCCCTCCTGGTGCCTCATTAGTCGAGCCCGTCCAGCGTGGGCGTGAACGTAGCTTTGCCAAGCTTGAAATTGCTCGTACTTACCCACATGAGCAGGTATGGCGGCCGTCAGGTGTCCTGCTTGAAATCGTTCATATACGTAAACAGTCTGTTCATCTTGGTCAGGTCAAATCAGGCTGCCTCCCCGTTATATCACCCCGAGGCAGCGTTCCTGGTTCACTTTTATTTCTTGCATAAGTTAAGACTTTCCTCTCCATCTAACGTTCTCGATCAAGCCTTTCACGAAGGACTGTGTCGTCTATTGCTGTATCACACTGTTGACAAAAGGGGTGTATTTGGGTAATATTGGAGTAAGATGCACCCCAATTACAAGAATATGTAAAACTTTACGAACTCTATTAGAAATAAACCCCTCACTAAAATCACGCGAGGTCAAAATAATGTTATTTTTGTGCACGAATACACGCCTTTTGATGCAAACGACTCAGCAACCACCTCATCGTCATTGGTACACGGATGCCCGTATGCTTCCCGATTGCGCTGAACGTCATGTTCAAAATTCTGTCACCGGTAGCACATCAACGCCTGTTGAACGTGAGGTTTCAAATTTTTTAATTTGCAGAAAAAGAAGAACTTTGAAAATATGCTGAATAACGAGTTTAGCCTGATGTACAGCCTCTAGATTTTTCAAGAATAACGCGCAAACAACTAACCGGCCGGTACATCAGCGCCTTATCGTGGCTTGAAATAGCAAGTCAGTGAGGCTATGCGTGTGCCTACGGCCACAAGCGCGTAGTCTCGCTGACATGCTGTTTCACGCCGCGATAAGGCGCTGATCTACCGGTCAATTGGCGTTCGCGCGTTATTGCTAAACAATATGGAGTCTGTACGCACGTCCATGTTTTGCACTTAGAACCTTACATAGGTCGTATTTGCACACACCCGACAGAAACAATGACTGCGAGATATTTCACCGCTATAGCTTGTGATGGCCATGCCGCTTTCGTGGCCCCTGCCGGAGGTTGGGAAGCGGGGAAGGGGAAGGGGGGGGGGGGGCGTATGTATTACGCACCGCAGCCCAGAGCACATGGGGCGAGAGGCCGCGCTGCTGAATCCAGGAGTGCTGGTTCCTATCCCCAACTCTGTCCGTTTCGTTCTAGATGAGCATCGTACCGGCGTGGGGTCGCGTATCGCTACTGCGTGGTGCACGTTAAAGACCCCAGGCTAGCAGTCGTACTGCACTGGCTAAATTTTTTATCTAGAGCGTAAAGCAGTGTCGCCGTAGCTTAAAGGTAGACCAACCTTAGGCTGACTAAACACAAACGTAAAATGTTATGCTTGTTTCTTTGGCTTGTTTCAGCGACCAATCTCTATATATATATCAGATGCTCCATGCAGGAGTGCCAACCAAGGTAATATATCGTTCCTAAGAGCAGCAATTTAGCTACGACGGATCTCCCAACGTCTCGGTAATTAGACCGCATCTCGCGAGACTGCCCAGCTGCCACGGCCCTCTCGGGGCCCGAGATTTCCGGTCTCCAAGAAGCCAGGAGCAGTCCTTCCTCCTGTCAGGATCCGAAGCCAGCCAGTCCATTTTGGGGTTGGGCAATGTCGGAAGCGTAGATATTCTCCAGAATTACGAGGTACGACAGAAATCACCGCACGTTCTGCTTGTACCAGAAATCTCTGTTCGTAGCCGGATCTGACAGCTGCGCGTGAGAAGGAGTTAGCAAACACGAGTTCGATTTTTTGTTTTTCTTTAATTTTGCGTGCCTCTTTTATTTGTGCCTCATGTTCTTATGTTGGGTGATCTTTTTTTATTTGAGTGCTTTCTGAAAAAATATCTGCCTTTTTTATTGCGGTTTCGTGTACTCTAGAAAGGAATAAGAATCCTCGGTTTTGCGGTTTACGAAAGTAAAAATTTATTCTTTCATGCTTTTCTTTTGGGTGTGGATGTGTCTGTGTATGGGGATTGCCCATCAACCACCAGGTGAGGAAAACTATACTCAATATAGGCTCTGCCAAGACTTTTCTCATCGATTCACGCCCCTAACAACAATCTTCAGCTTGGGAAATGGTGTTGGGGGCGCAAAAGGTGCGGCGGTGGGGCATTACAAGGACAACAGATTCACGGTGAAAACATCTGTCATTTTTCCTGACCCAGGCGTGATTACCTTAAAGAGGACAGCAAATGAATTTTGGGCTGGGATAAATAATTTTAAGTTGGAATCTTACTAATAGCATATCGTTTAGTGGGCCAAAAGAAAGGGAGTAGAAAGTCAAAAACCTGTTTTTCGGTACGAAATTTCCAAAATATATCGGACTATTTCGTGCCTCCTTTCCTTCGAAAGCTTTCCACTTTTTCACAGCAGCATATTTGCCGTATCCAAGACAGGTCGGCTCGTCAATAATAAACTCGTCGGCGAATATTAGAATCCGCGTTCGTGGCCAGTGAGTTCTGTGACGGCACTGATCACCCCTAGCACGTCACGACCACGTGAGTTCTAGTTTCGCTTTTGAGTTCAGAAGGAAAGCTAAGGAAAAAGAAGTTGAAAAATCCTTTCATGGCCCCTTTAAAAGTTTACCCCTCAGTGTTAGTTGTGTGCAAAAGCCCGCATTGCTGAATATAAAAGCCAAGTAGCTTCAAAACCTCAAAATTTGAAAAATAAGTCATTACACGAAATGCAAAGACTGTTTCTCGGTTTTCCATAAGACAACCGTATTAGCTAAGGAAAGGGGCAATATTAAACTGCTCGTAAATCCGTTCACAGTTATGAACTAGGAAACTAAGGTACTCCTTAATTTGTTTTTCATCGCTAACATTGCGGTATCGCTTTTTTTTTTTCAATTGCTTCCTAAGGTCGGACTCACACTGCCCTATGTAATAGAAAAGACAGTGTACCGACAATGTCTGAGGAATTCCTCGTATGAAAGTCACATTGGTCATAGAAAAACTGCCTGCAGAAATGTTCGAAGCCTGAATGCAACAAACATGCGTCGAACATGATTGGCGCGTATCCGCAGATAATTCTTTCCGCATGCCCACCGCCAACACCACGAGTAACGACGTGATGCATGACATGATGTATGAGAAGTGGAACTTTGGCTTGAGTGGCTACATAAGGTCTCGTTGTTTTTAAGGGCGAAGCTCCTTAAAGGGGTATTCACACGAGGGAGAAATCAAGGGGATTTCTCCCCGGCACGCGCGCATTACTAGACGAAACCGCGAGGCTTTTGCACATCGCAAAGCCTGACGTTTTTGTCGCGGGATGCACGTGCCATGGAGAAATCCCCGGAATTTCTCCCTCGTGTGAATACCCCTTTAGAGCCTGGTCCGTCCGGCGTCCGTGCTCACATCGATCTTGCTGGTGCTCGTGCTCGCGAGCTCACGTGCTCACGTGCTCGTGTAAGGCAAAAAAGAAAAAAAAAAGAAAAAGAAATGTTTGCGCAGTCGACAGGATTCTAATCTGTGCGGGGAGACCCCAATGGATTCTTAGTCCATCGCCTTAGCCACTCGACCACGACTGCGGGACGAGTAGGGGGCTCTGAGATGTGGTAGTAACCCAAGAGCTGGGGATGTCATGGATGAAACGTTGCATGTAGCCGCTCAACGTCTATACAGGAGAGGGCGCTGCGGTCAAATGCGTACATATAATCGCGTTAAACTTTGCATGCATTGGCTCAACGTTTATAGATGAGAGGGCGCTGCGGTCAAATGCTCAATTGCGTATATAACCACGTTCCGTACCGCACATTCTCTTTCTGACATGGATGAAAACGAACGAAAGGCTCGGCATGCTGCGGCTCAGCGTCTACGCAGACAAGCACCACCAGAGCTTCACCCCAATCAACATCATTCACCACGTGAAGATGCGGTCAATTTTTCTTTTCTTTTGCGACACGGGGGTTTAGGCAATTATTTCCATTTTAGAACTTTCTAAATTGTTTCTGTTTAAGGTTGCTAAACTTTATTTGAGTGTCTTGATTACCGGTGTACGTATGAATTTGGCTTCAAAGTCTGCTGGGTGCAGAAAGGTAAGTAATAAAAATTTAGTCAGGACGTTTCGATGGGCTGTAAGGGGTGAAGGCTCTACAAATATCGGTGCTTGGAAGAGCGGATTTCGTGCGGGAGGGATGATCGTCAGGCGGGGAATAATTGGAGCTGGTTCGGTCCTTTGTTTCTGGGTGCACTCAATGGCTGTTACCCGTTGCGAGTAGGTGCGGGTGAACATCTCGAGAGCCTTAGTGCTATGGCGAGAAATGGACTTTGAACCCCTAAAGGCCGGTTGTGAGTCCTCCTGACAAACTAGGAAGAGAATATAAACGTCACAGCTGAGTTTGAGACCTTCGTGTGTGTGTCGTCCAATCTTTTCTTCCGCAGTCACGGGTTTTCATGATATGTGAAAGTTCATACGCTCGTCCGTATTTTGTTCCCTTATCTCAACAAATAGCAAAATGAGCAGAACGTAAGGGCGCAAGTGTATATCAAACATTTTAGTGAAAAACCCGAGACTGAAGTATTGGCAGACGACGACAAGGGAGAGAAGGAGAACGTCTCAAACACAGCTAAAACTTTATCGAGGACAGAACCCTTTATATAAAGTCGAAAAAAGAAAGGAGGAAATTGTCGTATCTTTTGTTGAGAGAGGTGGTGTGAAGAAGGGTTCCCTAATATTTTTTTTTTATTTTTTAAATCCTACTTAAAGGGTTCTGTCCTCAATAAATTGTTAAATAGCAAAACTTTTTTCGTGTTGAATTACGCATGAACATGACACCAACCCCGAGAGTGCGGGTAAAAACGCCACAAACTCTAAGGGGTCTCAATACATCGTTCTTACATAATTATTCAAGTTTCGTTTCCTCTTTTCACATTTGTTTCGGTCATATAAAATTTACCAAATTTACTATCGCCTGTGTAATCAGGTGCAGTTAACTGCCTTTGCGTAGCGTCGTGCCAAACCCCTTTGTCTTTAAAAAAAGTATAAACGTTAAAGAACAACGAGATACGATCAAGACCTCAATACTCGCTGGAGTTGTACTTTTAATTTTTGAGTAACGAGCGAACGGTATCGATCAACACTTGCCATATTCGTCGGGAATTAATCAACAAGAACGACGAGCTTCGCCACGCACAAGATGGAAGCTCCGGACAGAGGGAGAGAGAGAGACGTGCTACGCTAAAAAGGCGTCCTCGGATCGATGCTTGAGCGGTTGACCCCTCGATTCATTAACCGCAGTCGCCGAAGAAAGCGGCCGTCAAACAGGAAGCAGCTTGGACCTAAGCACCGTCTCGGCATTGTGTGCCGCCGACAGGTCGCATTAGCCCGGGGCCACGCTCCAATGTGACGATGGGGCTTCTCCCGAGTGGTCGTTACTCACGACGAGGAGGCAGCAGAAAAAGCCTCTCAATGAGTCGCCTGCTTCAGTATTCGGGTACTCACGTGACAACGCTTATCTCTGTCTTATTTCTTTGTCTCTGCTTGCAAATATATCAAAGACACATTGACTTTATATTCTTTTTTAAATTTTGGCCGAGTTGTGTTTTGTTAATATGGAGCCCGCTAATATGAATCCCCAGCACTATAGACAAAATACTGGAGAACGGATTGGCCATATGCGTAGATTTTTGTCCCCTTATCATGTTAAACTCCCATCATGGGCGATGTTTTCAGGAAACGAAGATGTCCGTGAACGCCCTATTCCCACTAAATAGAAACACGGATTTGTTTATCCCCCGAGAACAAAATATACTGTAAAACCCTCAATGTTCGCGAGCCCTTAATTTTCGCGAATTTCACGAATTGAAGAATTCGCGAAATGTAAGGGCGCGCGAAAATTTTGGTTTTGAAGATTTTCAATGCAGGCGCCTGAAATTCGCGAAATTTAGTGCTCGCGATTATGTCATATGTGACCGACTCGCGAAAAATAGGGGCCGCGAAAATAGAGGGTTTTACAGTATTCGTTTTGGCTAGAACTGTCCGAACAAGCTTCTGTCGATCATGTCCCCTATCGACAGGCAGGATATTTTGAGGTCAGTTGACCACGCTAAACTCCAAGAACGATGTTTTAACGACGTAAATCGGACGTGTCTGGGAGCCGAGTTTCGAGTTTAAGGTCCCATCGTGGGACTTTTCGCTCTGTGAGTTAAGTGTCTCAGAAATGTTCAGAGCCTTTTCTGAAACAGTTAGCGCGAGAACAAGTCATCGCGTCCTCTATCGCCGGTATTGTACCGCCAATATTGGTCCAGGTGCCTAACTTGGCGTTGTTCACTGCGTGCGCTCGGCTTCGGTTAGAGTTCGGCGATTTCCATTCCCGCATGTTTGGTCAAAAAGGAATAAATCTAGACCATCCGTCTACGCATTGGATGCATCGGAGCGCGGATCAAACAAAAACAACCCAGTAATTGTGCCAATCCCTGAGCCACATTTCGTGGCTGCACTTTGAAACAGAAACCGAAGGTATCCCATCAAAATCTGAAGCACATGACGCTGCGTAATGCATGGGAAAACTTCGCTGGTTCGTGATACCTTAAATATATAAAAAAAGATATAGGGTTTCGCCGCATGAACGGCCTAGTGTGAAAGAATTGACTTTTGGGATAAGAAGGGTTAGGTTTTCCTATATTTCATTTCGAATTCAGTCGCAATGCCGGAGGCATTAGAGAGGCGGGGGGGGGGGGGGGTAGAATTATCAGTTTGTCGGAATCATAAAAATAGGGAATCTGCAGGACATTATATACAAAACGTAATCTAGCAAATGTATAGTCGGTACATCTCATCGGGTGGCTACAACACCACCTTTGTAGGCGACTACGGGGTGACACAATGAAAAGCAGCATTTTCCATTACGTGACACGTTCCGACGGCCAATCACGGGCGCATCTGGCTCAGTCGAGAGGCCTGTAACAATGAACTAATTTAAGCAAATAGTCGTACTCGATTACACAAAAACAAATGCCCAATCGTTTGCTGTATACTGTGCAGTGCCATAGACCATGTGCTCGATCGAACGTTGTTCGAAATGTTTATAGTTAGTTTGTTATTTTTAAACGTGGCCTGTTCAGGAGTCTACAGACTTTTTTTTCCAGCGAGGACAAATACATTTATCCAAGGTATAAAAAGGGTGTTTTGGAAACCATATATCCTGCTACTTTTCGGGCCAAAGTAAATTGAAAACCTTGACACAGGCATGGAACTCCGTAAATCAGTTAAGACGTGATTGCCTAAATTTACTAGTCCGTAGCATTAGTTCTGAAACCTTGGGCCACGAATTGTGTCATTGAGCTCTCCCATATTAATACACGACACAGGGCTCATTCGATTGGTCTGCACCAGCCCGCAGCGGTGCAGAAAAATGCAAGGAAATGTATACTTCAAGTTGTGTTTTCAGATAGGCTGCACTCGTAAATCGAATAAGGCGGTATGCACCTAGTGCAGCTGGTGCAGGAGGTGCAGGTAAATCAAAAGAACCCAGAGTCATAACAATGTACTACGAGATAAAATTTCACAGCGACACTGCGCCTCCCTTTTCACAGTACTCACTGTATGCTCCCATTCACAGCGCAGACTGCACATTTAGATCAATGCTTTTCATGTTTTGGACTCATCATTCGTTCAGCTCACTTCGGTGGTTGCAGTAATTTTGTGAACGAGTGCTTTGGAAAAGGTAGATGCTATAGACATTGGTTTCATAGTGTTTTGCATGGAAACCAAACTGGAGTATGCTTTACAGAGTGTTGTGAGGGTAGTAGAGTATCATGCATATGTACACTTCAATATAATGGTCGTCAAAATAGAATGCTTTGAACGAAGACAGCAAAATACTCTCCATGTGTTGTGCACGGTGAATATTGTTCCGGAACGGTGCCTCATTTGTACAGAATGTCAAGAATTGCCAAGACATCGGCAAGGGCCGGCCGCAGTCCTTTCTTCAAGAATTGGGAGCTTGAGCAGTCTCGTTTTTGAACTATTGCGGGGGAATCAGCTAAAGGTATGTTAAATTTCTCAGAAATATTTAAAACGCGTATTTAGCGGGTAAACGTGTTGGCTACTTTGCTGACACCCTGCTTGGTCATGTATCTCACACTGCTATAATGATTAAATGACAAATGAAAACCAGTTAAAACATGGAGCGGTAATTATATCGCTTGAGAAGAGTATACGGTAGTTCATCGTGTCATAAAGTATTACTCAAAAAAGAGTCGTTTAGGATAATTCGTGGTGCACACATTCAAGGCAGTCGAATAAAAACTGCAATCAGCCACATTAAGACAATCGGTAGACTCCAGATATTCCAGATTTCCAGACAGGCGGCACCGGAAAGTATTCTTGTACGAAGTCTGTCATTTTCTCGCGAACGCTCGACGGCGTAGGAGCAGTATCGGATATTTCTCATCAAAGTGCAAAAAACGATCAGCTGAAGCTCCCTCGTAATTGTTGTGCAGGTGCAAAAAGTACACTTAGTGACAGCGACTGGTACCGCTCGACGAATCTCGCAACAGTACGTGACTCTAGAACACCATGCCAAGG